CCCCCCCCCTCCCTTTCCCCAATCCCTGAATCCCCAACAATCCTCAAATTCCTAATACGCCGGTAACGTACTTGTAACGCCTCTGGTGTTTCAGGTATCCATGGGCGGCGCGGATTGCTTACCATCAGGAAATCTGTCTGCTCGTTAACCGGCTTAAATAAATATATAAAAAAAATCATGAGTAAAAACATAATCTGCATTTCTTACTTATGTGAGCCTACTTACTTTTTCTGAAATCCAAATTTGCTCAGCAAAGTCGGTTGGTTGCTAGGTAGAGGTGGCGATTTCTTAACCCCGTTCGCTTTGGGCGCAGTCTTTTTGAAACCATTCAAATTCCTCTGCTTGTTAGACTGACTGCCAAACATAGGCTGGGATTGACTAGTCAACCACGTAGACTTTTGAGACGCACCGAAGGATGACTGTAATAAAGGAAATAAAAAAATATTATTTAAATAAAATAAAGTTAAAAGATAAAATCCAACTGTATTCCAACAAGCCAAGCACCACCTTAAACCCTATTAATTATTTGTGACTTTCAAGTTTCATATATTTTAACATTGTACCTGGTAAAAGGAAACCAAGTAGAACATAACATAACATCACGCTTTTTATCCCCGAGGGGGTAGGCAGAGGTGCACTTAATGCCACTGTACAACACTGTACACCCACTTTTTACTATTTATGTTATAAGTCCCACGTAATAGGGGATGAGCCTATTGCCATATACCAGGGAACTAAATAGATTGAGAGTATAAAATATACAAAACATAAAGTTTGATTAAAATTGCCCTACGTTTCTGGAATACAATTGAACTGTCCATCTATGTGTAACATAGCCGATTGCATTATTCTTGTATACAAAGGAAAATATTAAAAAATACTTCTACAAACCTGCGAAGCAGTAGGCGTAATCAAAGTCTCCATAGGATAAGTATTATCTATCACAGAGTCTTCACTGGCCATATTATCTACAACCTGCTCCTCCATAACAATATCAGTAATTAAATTCCTTCTGCATTTTGGACTAGGCTCCAAAATAGGACTATTAGGCCTAACAGGACTAGAATTACACTCAAAATTCTCCTTTTGAGAATCTTCATCACTCATTTTTGCACGTTTTTTAAATGGATTCCTGCTAGAATGTTCCGGAGATTCTTCTATAGTGATACTTTCTTTAGATACGTCAACTTCATTGGTTGAACCCTCTTCATTGGTTGAGAAAAATTTGCTCTCAACTACATTATTATCTAGGACTGTTCGAGGGAATCTACTGAGTTTCTTTAGCACTGAATGTTGGCCAGTTTTAAGTAATTTTTTGAAAGATCGCTCTTTATTTTCTAGTATTGGAGATTTGTTATCTCGCGTACTGAATTGGTCTGGACTATTGTCCTCGTTGATTGGTCTATTGTGCTCATCTTCTGTACATTGTGTAAAGGTCTCGCTAAGTTCATTATCACAGTCAATTTTCGGCTTCTTGGCGGCTGGCTCCATACAATACATGTTGCTTAATGTTTCTATTGATAAACTGTAATAAAAACAATACATTAGAAGATAATATTGAATACAGATTAAGATAATGTTAGCTTATCACAAGCAAAATCCGTTAGAATTATCTTTCATGAACGTAATATATGACATCATCCATAATTGATACCGATTGTTTATTTGGTCGCTAACATCGTCAACGTCAATGTCCATACCACGTTGAAAACACCGAAGTTAAGCAACATCGGGCGTGGACCATACTTGGATGGGTGACCGCTTTTTTTATTTATTGTTCAAGATGGGAAAAACATAGCAATACTGCTCCCGCCTGGGAGAGGTCGGAGGGAGTGTCAGACTCTTACTGACAAAAACCACCCCGTTCCTACTCCTGCCCTTGGAGCCGGAGCCCCGGCAACCCGTTAAGTCCTCCGCGGCTCTGTATCGGCATCAGCCCAATAGGGTCTCATCTGTGGTGGTCTGATGGCTCTTTAGGCGCGCGCGGAACGTGACGCGCTGTACGCTCGGGTTGGGTGACCGCTTGGGAACACCACGTGATGTTACCTTTTTGCCAATCACGATATTCTCTTACAAAAATCACTTTCCTTCACATCACTGATAATTTTTACATTCTATCAGTAAGAGAGGCTCAATAAAAGCTGTTGTCACTGATTGTATTGCATTGTAGTTGTTTATATGTACAATATTACTTTTAAAATCCAAAATAATCCAAATACCTTTCATCCTGTGTCTCAGGAACATATTTACTGACTAGATTGACGACCTTCCTCGGTCTACTGATCACACCAGGTAATATAGACTCCGGTTTCTTCTCTTTCTTTCGCCAAGGGTAAGATTCGTCAAGGTATAACAGGAACTCTTTGCTCCAAATACTTGGGTGTGAAGAGACGCCTTTCTCTTTCCAGTTATTCGTTTTAACCGGTGCATTCTGTAAATAAAGTTTTTCATAAAACATATGTCAACAACAGACAACCATATCAAACTCCTATAACTGCTGTCTGCTCCGTCCGAAGGACGTCTGTAAGAAATGGAATGTACTGCTAAGGAGTGGAATTCTTTGCCAGTCTGTATTTCCTGAAGGGTATAACCTGGGTGTCTTCAAGGCCCGAGTGAATAGGTTGCTTATGTTGCTTATGAGACGACGTGCTCCATCGTAGACCGCATCATCGCTTACCAGGCGAGATAGTGGTCAAACGTAGGCAACATCAAAATAAATATTGCTTTGCGCTATAAGACCGCCCATTGCACACTATTTTTGTTGATGTTGTCCTATAATGCGATTGTGTGGTGTATAATGAAGTATATATAAATAAACTAGCAACTTCCGCGCAGTTTCACACGCTCTGCTCAGCTTCTATTGGTCGTAGCGTGACGTTTTATAGTCTATAGCCATCCTCGATAGATGCACCATCCAACACAAAAAGAATTATTCAAATCAGACTTGTAGCCGTAACTACTAGGCCGTAAGATTAGCGCGTTCAAACAAAGAAAACAAACTCTTCAGCTATAATATTAGTATAGATACTATCAAACATTTTGTATTACTATCGTCGTAAGTCAACTTTGCTGCAGTCTGTAGTAACAGAGGCGGCATCATGACGTGTCACACACTGCTGCTCATGTCTTTAAGCCCTTAGCGTGAATCTAGACCATTTAACACGTCAAACAGTTACATAAACCATTAACAAAAAAATTTAATGCATTTCTGTAATAAGGTAAAGAAATTTTTGGTCATTCAACTCTATAAAACTATTACTAAAGATTCTGAATCTGTATTCTGGAGTTATGAGTGGTTTTTTATGTACCTCGTATGTTAGCACTAACACCTAAGATATAACAGACTAAATTAATATTATGTATTATTTATATTTAGTAAACTTTAATTTAATTAAATTACGATAACACTACCGTAACATTATTGCCATTATACTTTATACCAAATTGTGGGCAATGGTGTGGGTTACATATTTATTGTAGCTGTTGTTTAATGTAAGACTTTTTATGTAAAATTTTAATATGCAACTGTTTTTTGTCCCTTAAATAAATAAATAAATAAATAAATACTTACAAAATAAATATAAAACAAACCTTATTAATACTATAGTCTGGATGCCAGTCATCCATTTTCTTCAATGTGAACGGATCTAGGTTTCCCAGTGCCAATTCAAATGCCGTTTTAGGATCCAACAGTTCACCAGCATTCACACAAAATGCCTGTTCGATTTCTGTAAAAATTAATTACATTATAGACCTATGTTTATAGAGATTTGGAAAGAAAGATAGAGTAGAGAATATAGATTGTAGAGAGAAAAAATATTTTTTATTTAGTACCTAGTTTTATTTTATCAAAACATTTCGAAGTATCTAACATAACATTACACTTTTTTTAAGGGGGTAAATCATCGAATGATTTCTCCTGCCTAGGTGAGGCGGGAGGGAGTGTCAGACTCTTACTGACTAAGAACCACCCCGTTCCTACTCCTGCACTTCGAGCGGGAGCCCCGGTAACCCGTTAAGTTCTCCGCGGCTCCGTGTCGGCATCAGCCATATTGAGCCCTATCCGTGGTGGTCTGATGGCTCTATGAGGCGCGCGCGGAACGCGACGCGCCGTACGCTCGGGTCTGTTTCTGGTCGGACGGGGAGCCACCCATGCTCGCCGTCCGCAGGCCCGCGCTTACGGTGGCCGGAGATCGTCCCGCGATCCCCGGCGCCCGGAGTTATGCCGTCCTTCGCGACGGCACAACATTACACTAGTACAAAAAAAACAGACCAGATGTCAATCTAAATAACAGGTATAAGTAAATGTCATAATTTACCTTCATCGTCAGGTTCAGTGAGTCTCACCATCTTCCGTTCTAGAGGATCGTAAACATACTGATGTTTGAACGTAGCCTCCGCCTTCATAAAACTTTCCCTGTACTCGTCCGACACCACCAAGGAAGACTTCTTCAAGAAACTTGGCAGTTTCTTAAGAGCCTGAAGAAGAGAATAAATGTAATTATTTATCAAGCATTTTGATTGGTTGGTAGAGCATGCTTATCTCCAGAACTACTGATCTGAATCGATTTTTTTACACATAACATAACATCACGCCTTTTTATCCCCGAAGGAGTAGGCAGAGGTGTACATTACGGCACTTAATGCCACTGTATAATGTAACACCCACTTTTCACTATTTATATTATGAGCCCCATGTAATAGGGGGTGAGCCTATTTCCATATACCGGGCACATTAACAGACTCCGTGCTACTACTGAGAGAAACCCAATACTTACTACATACTTTGCCCGACCCGGGAATAGAACCAGAGATCCCTTACCCGGCAGTCGCTATTCCGACCACTCGGCCAACGAGGCAGTCTTTTTTTTTATTTATACATCAATCGAAACCAAACAACAAGCGAAACAGCACAGGTATATTGTAAACATATAAAGTATATATGTATAAACAAAGTAAAACAAACTCACATTGGCAAAATTAGGATCCTGAGTGGCAATAACAAACTGCCTCGCTTTAGCCAGTCCAATGCCAGGCAGGGACGCCAGATAGTCACATCCAGACATGATACACATCTGTCTGAACTTCTCAAAGGAATACCGCTCTATCGGACACTTCATAGCTAGAGGTAGCTTCGTTGTATCCACTAATGTACCCATGCCTTCCGGGTCCATTTTGAAAAATACCTGAAATGTGAGAAAGATTGATTGTCCATAAGAAGTTTCAGTACAGTATCCATAGGTTGGACAATTTTTCGAATTTTTATTATTTATTTATTAATAAAATACAATTAAGACTATTTTTTTTTTACATTATTGTGCACCTATTCCCAGATTATTTTTCTAAAATTCCATCCAAAGGTTGTCTGTAAGAAATCGCCACGTGTGATAAGACCGCCGATGGTACTCAAATCACTATTACAATGTAAATATTTTATTCTGCGTGTGCGATCACTACATAGTAAAACAAGTCGCTATCCGCCGTCTGTCTGTCCCTATGTATGCTTAGATCTTTAAAACTATGCAACGCATTTTGATGAGGTTTTTTTTCATAGATAGAGTGATTCTTAAGGAAGGTTTATATGTATAATACATGGATATTGTAGCCGTCCGAAGCCGGGGCCGGGTCGTAAAGTATAAAATAAACAAAGAGAATATAATGAAACTTAGGTGTGTTACTAAGAATGATTTTTTTTTTAATAAATTAAGGTTTTAATGTTTGATGCCAAATAAATGCTTTTTATTACTTTCTTTAACTTACCTTAGTACACCCAAACAATATGAGATCGGAGTCTTCAGTAATAACTATGTGGGCTATATTCTTAATATTCAAGTACGCTAGCTGTGCATCAGCCTCATACGGTGCCACTATGCAGTCCACATTGTGTTTCCTGCACTCCTGGATGAGACTGAGCGCCATAGAGTGTGTAATGTCCACACCACGTCTCATAAACTTACGAGCTTCTTCGGTCTGGAATATAAAATATTTTTAAGAGAATCGACAGTTGTGAGAATAGGATTACCCTATGGTTTGATTTAACACAGACCTATTATTGACACAATGTCTTATACATTAATAATTCTTTTTGTGTTGGATAGTCTATTTATTGAGGAAGCAATATAACACCACCCTATGAACAAAGGAGCCGAGTAGAGCAAGCAAAATGGAAGTAGTTAGTTTTTTATAAGGTCTCTTAATGGAAGTCATGACAGAAAACAGTATTTCGGTAAATTAAACTTACCTGCCCAAGACTCAAAAGCTCAGCTGCTCGTTTCTTTGATATGTCACGAGACCTGCAAAGTAAATTAAATAAAATGTAGAAAAAGTACAAGATGAAATTTTAAACAAAACATAAGGTATTGAATCCCTTCAAAACCATGTGACAATGAAACCAAAAAGTAATAAAAATATTAACTTCATAATCAATACTTACTCTCTTCTCTTGGATTCCGTCATAGCTTTAGCAGGCAGGTGTCTTCCATCAAATACTAGTATCGGCTTAATGTTGTGTGATAACAACATTGTCACATATTTCATACAGTATCTTATGTGCCTGGAAAAATAAATACCACACACTTACTAGTAAAAAAATATTAAATAATGTGTAAAGCACATATTTCAGAACATAAATTCAATTTTAAATCGTCCTCGCTATGAGGTTATCGGAATCATATGTTAAGTAAATTAAAGCACGTAATATGAATTCAATTATATAAAATAGAACTTACATATCAGTTTGCTCCCCTCGTATTAATTTATCCGCACAAGAATATGTGCCTTTATGAAGCCAACAATAAGAATCAATAGCCACTGTACAGCCACTAAATTCACTAATATTAGTCCGCCTCGAGGCTTTATCTATAAATGGTAATAAACCCGTAATACCCATGATTGTCTATATAAAAGATTTACAGCATATTTTAGCCAATTTCTCTCATAAAATAAATAAAGAACAATTCGAGTGCAAAACAATATTGTCAACATATATGTCAACATTCGCGCCTTTCCGCCATTTGTTATTTTAGGTAAATGACAGTGACACAATACCTGATGTTCAATCATGTTTCCTTGTTTAATTTTAGAACTATGTCTTTTGAGTCATAGTTGAATAGTTATTCAACCTTTATGAGCCATCGTTTATAGGTATTTTATAATTAGTAAAACATTGCAAGCAGTTGAATAAAATTTAAACACAATACTTAAAATATTTTTTAAATACAGTTCAACAGAACGTTGTAATTGTGGGTAACTTTTATCTCAAACAAGTTGAGGGTAGGCATGATATATATGTAGCTTTTTACCGGAAAGTGATGGTGACAGCGTAGTTCGGCCTCATAATTTTATTTAAACATATAAAATTATTGGATTGGTCTGCCAACGTGCCAATAAAGTATCATATATGTTTGAAATCACTTAAAATGTTTTTAAATCCTCGTATCCTGTCGTCGGCTGCGGCGATTGCTATCACTTGTGCTGTGTCTGCAGCGGCCTACTATTACAAAAGCCGCAATGCTGTCGAAATTAACGAAGTAATGGTGTTCTGCAAACTCCACCTAAATGCTTATAATTACTTTGATAAGTTAATCAGCTATGTAGAAGCAGCTAAGAAAAGTGTTGACGTCTGCATGCCAAGCATACACAATCCCGCCATTCAAAGTCGGTTAGTAGAATTGATAAAGAAAAAGAATATCACAGTTCGTATCATAATTGACCGTACTGGGTATAATGATTCAACAGACTTTTTTATAAATGAACTTATTGAAGCTGGTAAGTTGAATTTTACTACCTACTATTGCTTAAGTTTTAATTATTTATTATACTTGTACCCAGTTCAGAATTCGTATTAATTTATTTTTGATAATCTTCAGGTGCAGAGATAAAGTGTAATCTAACGGAACCAATATATAAGATGCAACACAAATTCTGCATAGTCGACGACAAAGTTCTCATGACAGGTACTTTGGACTGGGGAAACGACCTTTCAGCCGACCATTGGAATTATGTCTACATCACTAGTAAACCACAGTTAGTAGAACCGGTAAAAAAAGAATTTTATCAAATGTGGATTCGGTTTTCTAGCGATTTAAGTCAGGTCAACAAGCCCACACCACACGATAGCGACATAGAATTTGTGGACGCTAGAAATTTAAATCCGGAAATGGAAAATATGGAAATAGTCGAAATGGAAAACGAACATAAAGGTGACTCAGAATCACAGACTAACAGAGATGAGACCTCTGATTTAGTTATAATTTAGTCATTGTATCAACTTTTTACCTTAATCTTTTACAAATGTTTTATATGCCAAAACATGCCCTGTATAAAAATCAATGTATTAACCTATTTTAATAATAAGACCATTATTTATTGAATCAAATTAATCTGATTTTTTATGATAAACGTTTTTAACTGGTATCCCAGCCAGGGAGGTGCTGGCCTTTTTCTACTCTCCAATTAATTGTATTTAATTTTTGCCCTAAAATGTTTGCCTTCATTGCCTAATTTTTTAATTTCACATTTTGAAACTGCTTTTTAGAAGAAAAGTGTTTCTTCACGCTGTAATTTTTTTCTTTTATGTATGTGTGTAATTATTTCAATGTTCCTCATATAAATTCTTAATTTTCAATAACTTACTATAAATTATGTATCTTATTACTTATTTATGTTTCAATATGTGCTATGGTCAGCTTTGAATTATTATAAAATATTTTTTATGTCATTTGTAAGTATAGCATTCATGATAATTTAATATTATTTAGTTGGTATAAATACAAAATGAAGCTATTTTTCAGATTGTTTAATTTCAGTAAAAGTCCTTGTTTACAAAGTGATATTTCCTAGAACAATTTTCAAAGACATTATTTTATTTGAGTTTGGTAATTCAGAAAACTATACAATACAATGAATGTGTAGTAAAACTGAAATACAAAATAATGTTTTAAAAATTAATTTGAAGTAATATAATTAATCCAACATACAGTTAACCCATTATTTGTCTGAACATGGATCTAAGTGAAACACAATGTATATACTTTCTATTGTCTTACAGAGCAGCATGAAAATCTAAACATAATATTAAATATACAATACAATTAACTAAAATACTAAAACTAACTTAGCCTTATTCTCTATTCCCCACCCCTAATAGCTTTATATTTAGCTATTTCATTGGGGAAGGTTTTCGACAATTCTGACAGCAGATGACTTTTGAAGCGCTTGTATGAATCAATCTTGCCTTTGACTTCTTCATTTTTCGCCAGAGCTTTGTCTATGCAGTCTTTTGTGTACAGCTGAGGATTGCGACCTTGGTCAATGTAACTGAAAATGAAATAAAAGGAAGAAAAATGAATGAGCATTTTCTAAAAAAAAAATATAAAAAAATATTAGGCAGTGGTATGCTGTATGCATAGTCTGCTTTTGCCACATGATTTCAATGTTTAAATAATAGCAAGAATTTCTTTGTGTGCTTTTATTTTAATCATTTATGTTGTAGTCAGACACAAAAGGCACCTGTGCTTGTAACATGCTCTTTTCTAAATGAATGATATTTTGAACAATGCTTTCCTTTGGTGGCAAGTGATTTCATTAGTCAACTAGAGACAATAAGAATGAATATTACACCATATTTTATTTTGTTATCAGTTTGAGCTTGTAAAAACTCAATGGGCATGAATGTGTTATTTTTGAGCATGTGGTATTTTTTTATGTTTTATTATTGTTTGTTCTTACGGTACACCGATACGCCCAACGAAACCCATACCGATAGATACAATAAAGATAAATAAGATAATAATAGTATAGTAAAGAAAATAAAAAGGTTCCATTCAAATACTTACTCAAACACTTCCGTGGGAACATGAATGTCGTGGACCTGAGACTTCAACTTGTCAACCTCCTGCAAACCAGTAACAAGAGATTGTCTGAAATATAAAAGATGGTGTTAATTAACTTCTGTAAACGATTAAACGCAAAAAAGAAAGTACGAATGGAACTTACATCTTCTGGTTCAAAACACTTTGGCCTTGTGGCTGGAAATCACTTACGATGATACGAATTTGCCTCACATTTTCGATAAACATTTCAAGTTGAGTCTCTAAATTTTCCAAAGGCGACGACATTTTCGGCTATTTTAACTAGTAGTATAGAAAATAAAAATACACAAAATGGACAGCAGCTCAAAACACTTTTTGTTTCAATTTGACGTTTTGCATAAAGATAAGAAAAGTTACTGAGTTGCCATACAAAAAACATAAAGTTACGTTCGTTTAATTGTTATATTGAGATTGAAACTTCTTGAGTCAATGGTCTTGTCATTATATCATCATTTTAAGATTCTAATATTCAGTGTTGTTCAGTTGAACATAATATTAACTGGTGACATAAATCTAAACATTGGTTCTGACATTCTTGACACAGGGACCAACAACTATTTAGATCTCTGCTCCTTTCATGGGCTCCAGCCTGCACATACCCTGCCCACACATCAAAGTGGTTCTTGTCTGGATCATGTGATGATTAAGTCTAAATTAGCATATATAACCTTTGTCACTAACTCAACAATTACAGATCACCATGCTGTAATACTAACAATAAATTTAACGTCCCATAAGCAAAAAAGAATTCTGACAAAGTCCAAATTGAATATGAACCGTCTTGAAAATGATTTACGCAACACAGATTTTAACCCAGTTTATAGTACCGCTGATGCAACTCTGTCTTTATCCTACTTAATAAATATTATACAGCAAGCTATTTTACGAAATACCACCACATCGAGAAATAGCAAAAATAATCACAATTTAAAACCGTGGATTACACCCGGCCTCCTTCGCTGTATAAGACATAGAGACAAACTTCATAAAAAAACTAGACAATTTCCAGATAACGCCATACTCCAACTAACATATAAAAGATACAGAAACTTCTGCAATAATCTCTTAAAAAAGATTAAAACCGAATACGATAGAAGCGAGTTGCAAAAAGCCGGAAACAATACCAAATCACTGTGGAATCACATAAAGTCTGTAACTTACTTAGCCAAACAGCGTGAATCAAATTCAGGCCTTTTGTGCAGTGATAACACACCACTGATATCAGCTAACAATGTAAACAACTACTTTGTTAACGTAGGTAAAAATCTTGCAGACCAGATAGTGAGTAATTCGCCAAGCACACAGTCGCCTGTGCATTTTACAATTACAAACCAGAAAAAATCCTTTGTGTTGCTTGATACAGATGAAAATGAAGTAGCTAGAATAATCTCTGGACTAAAAGATGACTGTGCGGTCGGCTGTGATAATATAAGTAACAGAATAATAAAACGTTGTAAGAGTATACTAGTGCCCCTTCTAACCTACATATTCCGCTTATGTCTATCCAAAGGAACCTTTCCTACATCCCTAAAAAAAGCTTTAGTAATACCTATCTTTAAATCAGGAAACAAAAAGCTTGTAAGCAACTACAGACCAATATCCATTCTGCCCTCGTTATCCAAAATATTAGAAAAAATTATAAACACCCGTTTAGTAAATTATCTGGAGAAAAATGGCCTGATTTCACCCAGGCAATTCGGCTTCAGATCAAAACTGTCTACAGCGGACGCTGTTCATAGCCTAACTAATTTCGTATCTGAAGAACTTGGTAAAGGCAATCACTGCTTAGCAATTTTTATAGACCTAGCCAAAGCATTTGATACTGTTTCTATTCCTCTTCTTTTACATAAATTGGAAGCAATAGGCATAAGGGGTACACAACTAACACTACTAACAAACTATCTAAATGATCGCTCTCAATGTGTTCGAATTGATACGACCACAAGTGAAGACCGAGGGAACCATGGTTTTGGATTACCACAAGGTAGTATTCTCGCCCCGACCCTCTTCCTTATTTATATTAATGATCTCTGTAATTTAAACATACAAAACGGAAAAATAATATCATATGCAGACGACACAGCGCTTATTTTTACCGCAAAAACAATCACAGAACTCTATGAGAACGCTCAGAGGGAATTTAATTCTGTAAATAACTGGCTAAACTACAATTTACTAACACTAAATGTTGACAAAACAAAGTACTTGCTCTTTTCCATGCGTAAAAATCAAACTAACACTACTAACGATGAACTTACAGTGCATAAATGTAATGCCCTCTCGACATACCCCTGTGAATGTCCTAAAATCCTCAAAACTCGTCACATAAAATATCTAGGCATCATTATTGATGACACACTTTCTTTCCGGCCACACATTGAGAGTTTGGTATCCAGAGTACGCAAACTTATGTTTGTATTTAAAATATTGCGAAAAATTGCCGATACTAAATTAATAACTCAAGTGTACATGGCACTATGTCAGTCCATTATCACTTATTGTATTACCTCATGGGGTGGTGTACCTAAAACCTCTATGCTGTCTTTGGAACGAGCACAGAGAGCAATATTAAAAGTAGCACACTCCTATCCTTTCCTTTTCCCCACAGAACAACTATACAAATCCTGTAAGGTACTAACTGTAAGGCAACTATACATAACGCAAGTAATATTGAAGCAACACACGCAGATCCCTTATGATACCAACACTGTAAAGAAGAGACGAAATGATATAGTTTGCAGTTCGCACTCGACCTCAAAATTTATGTACAGTAATAAATTCTATAGTTTTCTAGGACCCTACTTATATAATAGGCTAAATAAGCAACTTTGTATTTACAACTTGAATTGCTATCAATGCAAAAAACGTGTCAGCACATATTTGCAACAACTGACTTATGACCAGACCGAATTTTTGCTGACTGTATGTAAATAAAATTAGAAACAAGTTAATTTATTAAGTGATTAGGTATACATTTCTATATATAGGTAAAATTTGAGTAATCAAATAATTTAATATAAGAATGATTATATAATTATTGTTAATTAGACCTTAAGTTCTCTATTCTAAGCGGTTTTTATTGCCTGAGGTACAGGTTTCAAACCTAGTTCAGGCACATGGAATAACATAGCAGCATATAGAATTAAGACATACGAAATTTCTGTTTATATTTTTTGAATAAATTATTTTTATTTATTTTATTTTTAGTTTAACTACAATAACTAATACCTTTTCAATAAATGTAATTAGGAAATGAGAATAAGTATATAAAAAACGTATGTTTTTGAACGCAACAATATAAGTCATGATAATTGACATTTAGCTGTCATTACGGTGTTTGATTTGACATTGAGAGCTTTGGAGAGGTTATTGCACTAAATACAAACCGAGTTCGGTTAATTATAATATTATTTGTAATGGTTCATTCGGTGTCAATTGCTAACACTAAAACTACGCTCTATGAATCTGCGGTCGCGGGTGGTATGGCGGGAGCCATTACAAGAGCTGTAGCACAACCCCTGGACGTTCTAAAAATACGATTTCAACTCCAACTTGAACCTATTCGAAATGGTTCTAAATACAGCTCTATGCTACAAGCAGTGTCTTCTATTGTGAAGGAAGAAGGTATATTGGCATTGTGGAGTGGTCACGTACCAGCACAATATCTATCAATAGCGTACGGAGTCTTGCAATTCTCCGTGTTTGAACAGCTTACGCAAGTATGCCAGAGTGCTGATCAACAGTTTTATTACACACACAGACACTGGATAAACTTTTCTAATGGCGGTGTGGCTGCAGCCGTCGGTACCGTCGCATCATTTCCATTCGATACAGTCAGAACCAGGTTAATTGCTGAACAGAAAACGAAAAAGGCATACAAAGGGTTCACTCACGCAATCACGTCTATGGTAAGAACTGAAGGAGTCGCTGCCTTGTACAAAGGCTTGATACCCACCCTGGGTCAGATAGCACCGCATGCTGGCATACAGTTTGCAGTGTATAGATTTTTAACAGACACTGTATTTAATAAAATACCTCTTTTCCAAAGACGAGCAACTATGCATTCTGTGATTGAAACCTCTTTAGTGGCAAACATCATAGCTGGTTGTATATCTGGTTTTGTGGCTAAAACTGCAATCTATCCATTTGATTTAATAAAAAAAAGATTGCAAATACAGGGTTTTCAGCAGTACAGGCAGTCTTTTGGCAAGCAGATGTACTGCAATGGTCTGTTAGATTGTTTGAAGTTAACCATCACTATGGAAGGGTTCCTAGCACTGTATAAAGGGTATGGTCCGAGTATGTTAAAGGCAGTTTTGGTTACTGCCATGCATTTTACTGTGTATGATGAAATCAAACACATGTTCATGAAATTGAAGAGTTGATGAATGTAATCTTATGTAAATAGATCTAAATTCAAGTTGATAGGTATGTGCATGGGCAAATCATTAAATTATTTCCTAGTAGAAATTATCTCTATAATTAGTTACATTGAAGGCCATCGAAGATCCTCATTGTACATGAATTTGTTATGTTGCATCATCTCATAGAGCATAAGCAATCACAATTAAAAAAAAATTGACATTGCATATACCTATCAAATGTTTGTATTAAGAACAAAATATTAATTTTAAGATTTAATAACACGGGACTGATCACAGGAATATTCATCACTTAATTTAAGCTAGCCAAACCAAAACTGCCATCAAATGTTATTCCATTAGTGAGTTTTAAATTATTAAAAAAAAATTATCTTATATCACCAGTATTGAGTGAATTAATTTATAATTTTTTATCTATTTTGTAAAAATCGAAAAATTTTAATTATTTATTTATTAGAGTTATTTATGTTTAATAAGTTGTTTTAAGTATAAAAAATATTTTATTTATTAACCTACTGTGTTGATGTTGCTTTTTTATTTATTTATTTATTGAATATAATATAAATGATATCATGCTTTTTTGTTGTGTTTTTGTAAAATTAATAGCAAAATATTATTAAGTGTCCATATGTTTGTTTATATTACTTCAGCAGTGGTGTGTATAATGTGACCACTGAATTAATGAAGAAGATATCCTCTACCTATATGTATAATATTTCAGATACTCCACCATTTCATCCTTTTTAATAAAAAAATTCAAATCACTCTTCCAAAGCATTTAAAATTATTCTATAATGTTCATGGATACTTTTTTTTTTGTAATCTGTGGTTTGAATATTTATTTGTAGCATTAGTGTTGTACACAAAGTAGATATGTATATCTATATACCGAATACATTTCTGTGATACCTACATATTAGATAGATTTTAGACTGAATGTTTAGATTTGTTGGCTTATAAAAGTAAATAAAAAAGTTGTATAAACAATTTTTTGTTTTTTTTTTCTATTTGTAAATATACTTAGATTATATATACTTTCCATATAAATAACATTTGAATACTATCTTTATCACACTTGAAATAAAGTCTAAAATCGTAGCAAGACTTTTGCTAGTGCCAGTAGTGTTGTATGCACCTAATATATATCTTATAGATTTTTAAAAAAAATAACATGCTCAAGTATAAAACTTTAATTACATAAATGACTATAAACAATAATACAAAACTAATCGTAAACATTTTAAAATTATGTGCCCTAACATTTTAATTCGATTCTTAAAATTTTCGTCACTTTTCCCAATAGGTACCCAGCTAAAGTATTTTTTATTTTAACAAGTAGGTTTAAGATTCTGTTCAGCCGTACGATATCACATAGCCCATATTCCGCATCAAAGTGTCTTTGATAGCTGGCTGCAATTCTTTCTTCATATAAGTGGTCAAAAGAGTTCGTATACCTTTTGTAAATATGTCTTCCATTTCTCGAGAAATGTCTTCTGCTTCGTCCAATTCGTCGTCGGGCCTAAACAGTTTACTTCGTTCGTAATTGACCCTACTTCGCGGTTCGTAAACAATGTCCCAGTTGTTGTCAGCTGCCCTACTATCCACTCCCCCACTGTATAATGGTCTTGCATCAAAAGTAAACTCATCCGATCGCTTTCGTCGCTTCAAAGGCAAGTTGTCCTTATTCCGAACTGAGTTTCTGTTTATGTACTTCTCGCAACCGTATGCGTATACGCTTATGAAGCCAGGTTCAACGAATTCTGAATCGGTTTTCACGTTGAATTTACCTGGTTGTTGATTCAAAGGTCGAGTGTGGAAGCCAATTCCTGCCTTTCTTAGTCTTAGGATCATGTTACAGCCGTTACTGCCTCGACTTCTAGCGTAGTTGTCAAAAGGGCCGTCTATTGATCTGGATTCGGCGAAATGTCTTCTCGATCTTCGGCTGGGTGGAATACCTCTATCTAGGTCATTTGCATCGTATAGATCCACATTGCCACTGATTGTTATGTCGTGGAATAGAAGCATGGTATCCAGTGAGACGTTTCTTGGGTCGAAGTAGCATTTCTCCACTCTAACCCAGTTGCTGTTTTGCGGCAGTCGTACCCTCATCCTTGTAACATACATGTCGACGGGAGCTGATCGCATTTGCTGGTACAAGCTGTAGCCATTGAGATCGATGCTTTGACTCTGTAACAAGAATATTAGTCACTAGCAAAGGTAGACAAGTTATTCGTATTTTTGTAGGTATCCATGTTTGGTTAGAAACTGCCTGTGTGTTATCCTCATCATAGCAATAGTTCGTTTCTGTGAATATTGAATGAGGAAACAACTCAAACATTATGTAATTTAAAAAAAAAAGTTGCCCCTCATTCGTATTTTCTCCTGTGTCGTGAATGCGTTTACAAACATACAAGTTTACATACACAATGACACCCAGACCCGAAACAACAATTTGTGGATCACACAAAGAGTTGTTCCGTGCGGGAATCGAACCCGCGACACGTTGCACGGCAGCCGGTTGCCCAGCCACCGCACATTACACGTTTTATTTCCTTTTTATCCGACTTCAAAAAAGAACGAGGTGCTATTTCTGACCCAGGAATCGAAATCGAAATCCCTTGCTTGGCAGTCTCACTAATAAATACTTGACAAACGAAACAGTAATAGGAGACGATAAAGTAGGTTCAAAATATTGTCATCCTGTTACTCACCAAAGGGGTGTCCAAATTTTTCGGCTGCGTCCTTTTCCGTCGCTTCATCTGGTCTAATGCGGACTCCAGGCGTGACGAGCAGCGCTCCCCAGCGATGGGCACTGTGGTCAACGGCGGTAGACCGCCAGGCCCAACTCCAAGTGGTCGGTTGTCATATCGCTTCGCTTCGAACAGAGGAAGGAAACGTGACTCTGTAAAGCATAGTGTTAGTTTTAGGTAGGTTATTATGGTTATACAGGGTGACTTGTAACTCGACGTATTCCTCTTGGGAGGTGATAATACAACTAATTTCCTACAAAATTATTTTTTTACCAATACCGAAAATGTTGAACATCTCAGAAACTAGCCACTTTCGGACCAGAGACCTCAGGGCTATTTTTGTATGAAATTAGTTGTATTATCACCTCCCGAGAGGAATACGTCGAGTTACAAGTCACTCTATATAGCCAGCACCGATTTTATCATAAGGGCACTCGGGATCCATGCCCAGGGGCCCCGGAGGATTGACAATTTGGACTACGACGGAGACACACCCGCTACATGTTGCGCGCCAGCCGGTTATCACGCAACGTGTGGCAGATTCAATTCCCGCACGGAACGAATCTTTGTGTGATCCATAAATTGTTATTTCGGGTCTGGCTGCCATGTGTATGTATGTGAACTTGTATGTTTGTGAACGCGCCCAAGATACAGTGGAAAAGCCTATTGTGGGGCAACCTTAAAAAAAACATTCCAAAAGGGCTCGAATTATTTTGTGCCCAGGGCCCCAGTGTCGTCTAAGACGGCTGCATATAGCTCACCCTCACCTGGTTTCAGTGTATTGTGTAGTATCTACCTATAATAAATTGCGGATTTTTTGGACTTTTGTCCTATAGTTACATACTATGAACCTCCTCAAAAATCAGCGCTTTTACCGTTTACCACCAATTTAAAAACACCATTAGGATCACATACAGACTACCACAATTCGTGGTTTTTGTAGGTAAGTAGATAGTTGTTCTGGGGAGCAACCGAACCCGCAATTCTTCACTGAGTATCAGTACCTAGCGACATTTCCTAGGAGTAACTTCTTTTTTAAAGCATAAGCCGGTAAACGAGCAGACGGATCACCTGATGGTAAGCAGCGCAGCCCACGGACACTCGAAACACCAAGGCGTTATAAGTGCGTTACCGGCCTTTTGGGAATTGGGATTTTGAGGATTGTGGAGGATTCGGGAATTCGGGAGACGGGGACTAGGGAGGGGGGTAATTGGGCCTCCGGTAACCTCACTCACACGCATAAACACAACGCAAGCGTTGTTTCACGTCGGTTTTCTGTGAGGCCGTGGTATCACTCCGGTCGAGCCGGCCTATTCGTGCCAAAACATGGCTCTCCCACATCCAACTAAACTAAAGTATTACGTAAACTAGGTGGGTAGCCCGATAAAAGCGTAATCACTAATGACTTATTGTTTATGAAAATGACACCTCTCATTCCGGTATGGAACAATTATAAAAAGGAAAATTACAAGCAGGCAAACATAAAATTGAAAGTTAACGTGTAATTATATTCTATGTTGATGTTGATCCTACAGTTTTCTCTTCCATTGTTCTATGTTCAAAGGCGTAAAAATCGTGAACTATGTGGTGACGTCAAAACTTTTGTAGGTACCTATTAATGAGATTTACGTTTTGGATGTGCTCCAATTTTTGTAGGTAGTTTATAAGTAGGTATACCCACTTTTTAAGGGGTAATATCATCGAATGACTTCTCCCGCCTGGGTGAGGCGGTAGGGAGTGTCAGACTCTTACCGACTAAAAACCACTCCGTACCTACTCATGCAATTCGAGCCGGAGCCCCGGTAACCCGTTAGGTTCTCCGCGACAGGTATTCCCACTAGAGAGAATAGAATCACCTGCCCTGTCTTTGAACGAATTACCAAATCCATTTCGGTCTGGTAATTCAAATCTTTTGTTTCCGATAATCCCATCTGTTCTGGAATAATGTTACGCTGCAACGTTTAACAATAGAGGTATTTTAATTTAGCAGTTCAGCCACGAAGTTATACCTAGGTAGGGGACTTTTTAAAATCGTTGTAGACGCTCACGTACCTACCGCGAAAGCGTGTGAATCGTGGGTATATTGTGATTACGAAGCGCTTTTTCTCTTTAAAAGTAAACCGTATAATCTCGAAGAGTCGGTCTGATGATAGTGACTCACGTTTCGATTTTCTCTTGATCTAGTTTAACATTTTGTGTAAGTACATCTTTGTTTTGGAATTTTCCCTTTTGTTCGAGAAAATTTATAAAGATGCGTTAGGAATTATTATTTTACTGATTTCAGCGTCATTTTTAACATGTTTTTAAGTAGGTAGCTATTTTATACCTAGAGCTAAATTATTAAGGCACATAGTAGTTTCCTGATCTTATTTTTAGTAAAAGTACAATTTTCAAACTACTAAAAATACTACTTTATCTATTGAGTAAGGCTATACCAGCCTTTGATCATATGATAGATACGAAAATATCGATCGGTATCAATGTATATTTAGAACAGGTATCGTACAACTTGATAAATAATGTTTTTAGGTCATATCAATTTGTTTCTAGTAGGGACAACAAAATAAATGATATGGCTTATCGTTAAATATCGTGTGCTAATATGTAGGTAAGCTCGTGGTTACTTTTAAATATAACGCTCCAATGAATATAGGCCAAGCTTTGATTGCTAGTAATAAAATTCTAAATCTAATTTACAATCATTGCGTACATTTTTACTCGCTCGAATCTAATCTTATATTCCAAAATTAGTTACCTTTTTGCACCTCCGCAGATGGAAGCTCGTTCTCACTAGCCGATGCAATTTTAGCAAATAACATAAACATCCACCAGAACTTCACCATTTCTCACAATGATAAACAAACACAACTTTCAACTAGGCTGTTTGACAATCCGCCTTGTCGCGAAAAAAAATGCAACTGTCAAAAAATGCCGCGAACGCCTTCCTCTCGCCGCGAAACCGAAACGTAAAATAAAGCTTGGAAGGTAAGACAATAAGAAGTGCAGTCTTTGGAACATAATCCCCGCTTGAGTCGATTGTATACTTGCTTCTAGACGATTTCGCGACAGGTGCCTAGATAGATGGCAAGTACCTAGTCACTGGGTGCCGGATAATCGGCGAGAGGACGATTTATTAGAGCGAAAATGAAGACGTTCGCAATGTCTCCGTGATGAGCTTATTGCGAAGGACAAAAATAAGAAAAAAGTGCACAGACATACTTAATTATAGTAGATTGCTACAAAACGAAAGTTTAATATTTGGTGCACTTGGTGTTATGCAAGTTGGAAGAGAAAAAATTGTTGAGTAGGTGAACCTACGTGCAGACAGCAGAAAATTGACCGAATTTCAGACTAATGTGGAGTGTAAATCTGCAACATATCTGTAAACGTAGGTATAAAATATGGGAGCTAGTTTTTAAAACAGCTTAATTTAATAAAAGCTAAATAGTAAAATAATATAGATTATAGATCTTATACTCTTATACTATTATATAAAGCAGAAGAAGAGTTTGTTTTTTTGTTTGTTTGTTTGAACGCGTTAATCTCCGTTACTACAAGTCTGATTTGAATAATTATTTTTGTGTTGCATAGTGCATTTATCGAGGATGGCTATAAGCTGTAAAACATCACGCTACGACGTGTGAATCGCGCGGAAGTAGCTATAATATAGATATTCCCGTAAATAATCGAGACCACTACGAATGTTTTATATTCTGTTTTAGAGGTATATACCCAAAAGTCATATTTGGAATAATAACCTGCTGAATGGATTACTACTGCTAAAAAATTATCTAAATACTAAAACATCGTTGATATCAAACCACACATTTCGCGTCACATGAATTGAAGAACACCATTTATCTACCTCTACTTACCACTTAAATTACCTACCTACTTTGAAAGAAACCGTGGAATTTTTTAAGTTCTAGTCTCATTAATACCAGAAACATATACACTTAAACTAGATTTTTCCATATATCTAGATATTATAATATGCACGTCGGCACATCAGGCATCCTATTATTTTTTTATCAAGAGCGACATCAGAGCTGTCGGCAAAACAACTAGAGTGTGACGTTATTAAGGAAAGAAAATTGGGTTAAGCCGTTTAAAATTGTTGACGAAGTTGAGTGACCTCGCCGAATGCATCCATGGGTTTACTATAGACTTTTACTCAGAACCTCTTACGTCTTCTTATCTCTGGTATTCAAATGTTTAACAGTTTTATCAAAGAGATAGCGACTTGTAAACAAACGTAGCCTTTCTTCCGTTGGTGGTGATCTCGCCTTGTATTTTTGTCTAGTGGTAGATAATTTTTATACATCAGTACTTCCTTGGAAGTAATTTGCAGTTTTTTTTTATATTTGGCCACTATCTCGCCTGCTGGTAAGTGATGATGCGGTCTACGATGGAACACGTCGTCCCATATGAAACCTATTCACTCGGGCCCTGAAGACACCCAGGTTATAGGTAACCTTCAGGAAATATAGCCTCTGGCAAAGAATTCGAACAAGAAGAAGTTAGTATCGATTTCCGATTTGCGGACTTCCTATGTCCTGTTTTTGGGATAAGCCGGTAAAAAAGCTGACGGATCACATGATGGGAAGCAATCGGCGCCGCCCATGAACACCCGCAACACCAAGTCAACGTCAAACATTCTATGGGATTTTCTCCTATACTTATTATACTACTTACTATACTCTTTGTATGGGACTAATAAGGATTTGACGATTTATAAAAGACTCATTCGTAAGTAAAGTGTTAACTCGTGGCCTCGTTAGTGATATCTAAATATCAAAACTTTTTATTGATACCTCTATACAGATATAGGTCCTACGTCAGAACCTAGGGCCCGATTCATTAATTTTCTAATAACTACTCACATCTTACAAAGATTTCTATCACCACACATAATCACCAGACGGCGAATATTCGTTTTGCCTATTGTTTCTAAAGCTATTGTCCCAAAATATTCCCTCTGTAAGTAATGTTTGTAATTCTCGATGGCCATTGTTATATTATTACGTTTTTTTTTTCTTAAGAAACTTCCGTGAAATAACGAAAATGTTGCCATTTAATTTAAGAATTTTGAGCAAGTCGTAGGGGTATTGCCAAAGACTTGTGTTTTGTGATTTCTAAACTTTTTTGTGTTTATTTCTTGTGTTGTAGATAAAGTATTTTGTAACTTATATGGATTAACCAACCGTGTATATTATATATTGCCAAAATAATGTATAAGTGAGTATCTATCTACTCTTGACATAGACATAAAAGATACGTAGGTACCATGCCTTATGGTTTTTCATACAATAGTAGAACATTTAGTTAGAGAGAGTAGAGTTAAGCTATTTAGAGACGTGCAGATTATTGCAGATTTATGCCTTTTCATTCCATTTGTCGTTCTCCTTTCTTTCCTATAGTATATGTTCGAATGTAATCTAATTGAGTTGCGAATCTAGTAAAATAATGTACGGCATTGACATAGATGCCCTCAGTCCCCTACCTGACTCACAAAAACATCTAAGATTCATCTACCCTTCACCAAAACCTTTGATGCCACGTCTGTCTCAATTTATCCTATAGTATGAAAAACTTATCAAGATTTAGGAGCGGCCTTGTCAATCAACTGCAAGACAACGAACAAAGGGACGTTCCCTTCATTCATTGGCTGCATAAGAACAAACGCCAGTAGATCAACATACCTCAATCTAACTATTCTTAAAAGATTTTCAATCTTGTACTCCTTAAAATAAAGTCGAGAATCTAAATTGGAAGACAGTGGTAGGCTGATGTGCTGATGACCTAATGAAACTAGGTGATTCGCCCTACGCATACAAATACATTCGCTCAACCGCATCGGTCCATGTATTGTTAACGAGAGCATCCGGAGAGTCTCCCAATCTCATTCACTACGGATCTTGACCTCGGTTGTAATAGTTTCATCAATCAACTTATTATCTACTGCCTAGATCTATATGCGCTACATGTGTATGAGGTCTAGAATTCTATATCAATTACGCCTAAGTGACTAGGTGCGCATGTAAGTTTTAACGTTTGTTTTATATTAAGTCATCATCATCAGTCTGTATTCATCCACTGCTGGACATAAGCCTCTCAAATGGCACGCACATTAAGCTCGGTCTTCAGCTCTTCTCATCCAACCACTGCCAGCCACCTTGCGGATGTCGTTACTCCACCTAGCTGGACGGCGCCCTTTTTTTTAAGAGGGGAAATCATCGAATGACTGCTCCCACCTGGGTGACGCAGCAGGGAGTGTCAGACTCTTACTGACTAAAAACCATCCCGTTCCTTCTCCTGCACGTCGAGCCGCGGCCCCGGTAAACTGTTCGGTTCTCCACGACTCCGACGGAGGGCGCCCTAGGCCCTACACTACGTTTGCCTAGACGCGGTCTCCACTATAGAACACGTTTACACCAACAGTTATCGGTTCTTCGACAAATGTGACCGGCCCACTGCCACTTCAGCATACTGGTCCTTTATATTAAGTGTCTGTGATCAATTTTTTTTTGTTTAACAAAGTATGTCACCAAACTCAGAACAAGTCTGGCAAATATCCTGTTCTAATAAAACCTAAAGTTTTGTAATTAGCCGCTTCCCGATTGGGCGGGACGAACACATGGTCCCAACAATGTCATTGTTTGGCAAATTGTGCAAGCGTGTCGGTTCGGAGCCGCAGTGGTGCAAACTGCGCTATTGTCACTGAACAATAGGGAAAGCCACGGCTAGCCCGTATGCTAGGCTTTATTGGGCTATGAAGCCAGCGTGGTAGCTTAAACGCTACATGACATTGTATACCCAACTCCTTTAGAATTACAGGAGTCCATAGGCGACGCTCTGATAGCTTACCATCAGAAGATCTGTCTACTCGTTCACCCCCCATGCTTTAAAAATACTATTTGGATGTGAATCTTACCTTTATAAAAAAGGTGAAAGGAGTCAAATAGGTACCACATTTTAGTAAGTCCTTCAGACTGAAATTGTAAATATGTTTGGTAGTGAGTTCATCCCCTTATTGTTACCTAGATATTCTGTAAGTATAATTGCATGTTATAAAGAAGAAACCACAACAATGGTTTTCCAAAACCTGTTTTTAACACGCTATTCTCACAGCCCGACACGTGTACAACAATTTCTATGAACTAGGTCCATTCCATTGTCGTATTTTTAAAAAAAACCTCGCGTCCGCGTATGTAAACAACAATAATGAAATATTATTATTACGTAAACTAGCAGATTGCTTCAAAACGATCGTTACATGGATTGTAAGCACTTTTATGTGCATTTTAGTCACAATGATGTCCCGCTATTACGTAACGCATTTGTTTCGATTCTTGATAGGGTGGCCAGTGAACCTCTTGTATGAAATGTCAAATGTCTTTTTTTAAGGGATAAGCCAGTAAACGAGCAGACTGATCGCCTGATGGTAAGAAATCGGCGCCGCCCATGGGCACCTGAAACACCAGAGGCGTTACAAATGCGTGCGGCCTTTTGGGAGTTTGAGGATTGTGGGTGATTCGGGGATTGGGGAGACTGGGGAAAGGGAGTAATTGGGCCTCCGGAAACCTTACTCACACGACGAAACACTAGAGTTGTTTCACGTCGGTTTTCTGTGAGGCCGTGGTATCACTCCGGTCGAGTTGGCCCATTGGTGCCGAAGCATGGCTCTCCCACACTTAAAATGTCGAATTTGTCATTTGAATGTTGATTATTTATTTATTGGGTGGATCTAAACAATTAGATACCTACCTGCTTTGATACGGGTAGGCTACATTTAGATATATAGGTAGATATAATCTATCTAAATACGTCAATATCCCGGTAAACATCGATCTGCATAGCAATTAGGAAACTAGACGACCCTGAGAACTTTATATCATATTCAATAACATGAATAAAATAATTAGGTATGGCAATGCATTATTGTTCATCACACAATTTACACACGTCAGCAACAAACACCATTGATCAGGTACTTGAGGGCTAACGGTAGAAATGGTCATTATGGTCAACCGTCATTACTTTCTTTCAATAATTAGATAGGTACTGGGACGTTGATTACTTGAACATTTAGGTTAGCACGGAGAAAACGGGGAAACGACACAGCGCGATGTGGCAACGATTTCATAGATTAGAAGATAATAGGACATAATGACAGTACCTACATATACCTACATAGGTGCCAGGCAATCATTATTACAATACAGCTTACAAGCCTATATAAAACTATAGAGGTAGTTTCACTGTGATATTTTGTGCGGTAGGGTTGAAGGTCTCGTCTCCATTACAAAAAGATCTAACTACTTAATAGATGCTCCATATTTAAAAGGTATAATAAAAAACTGCCTCGTTAGCTGAGTGGTCGCAAGTGCGACTGCCGGGCTAGGGGTCTCGGGTTCGATTCACAGGTCAGGCAAAGTAACACTGGGTTTTAAAAAAATCTCAGTAGTAGCACGGACTCTGGAATTGTGCCCGGTATATGGCAATAGGCTCACCCCCTATTACATGAGACTCATAACATAAATAGTGAAAAGTGGATGTTACATTGTACAGTGGCATAATGTGCACCTCTGCCTATCCCTTCGGGGATAAAAGGCGTGTTATGTTATGTTATAGTAAAAAAATCCAACGCAACAAATAAATACGGTCACAATCGCACCTATCTGTAACATTATGTACTTACATGTATTTCTATTTATAGAGGTGTATATCAAACTCCTTATCTTCAGCCATTATCTGCCGTCAACCCCAGGGGACCCGTGACCATCTGGCAGTGAGGTCGAAGTAACCTGCACCTTACTTCAAAGTATGTATGTAGATAACAAGTAAGAAACCACTAAGTAAAACGAAAAATAAACAGAATTTTTATCAAAGAATCTTAAGGGTTAAAATTTGGTTTAAAGTTCAAGCTATTAAGTTATCTGAAGTAAGGAGAGTACTAACTTAGGAGTTTAGGAGATTCCTCAATGTAGATCTACTGGATACATTTCGGGGAGTGTGCGGGGGAGTTGCACAACTTGATTCCCCCTAGTCCTTTCCATCATCGTACCATAAGACAATCAGCGAAGCGTCGCCGATTCATGGTAGATGTCCCACCCACACGCACAAAGCGCTTCGCATCTAGCTTCCTTGTGCGTACTGCTAAGGAGTGGAATTCTTTGCCAGAGCCATTATTTCCTGAAGGATCTTCTTCAAGGCTTCTTCTATCTTAAAGGCCCGAGTGAACAGATTGCTTATGGGACGACGTGCACTATTGTACACCGCATCATTGCTTGACACATGGCGAGAAGTGGTCAAACCTATGTGTCGCATATCGGTGGATTTGGCTACTATAGAATTTTGAAACAATAGGTATCGAGTTTTGACTTTGAACATTAAAACTCCTAACTCTACCTCTAAAGTCCAGCTATGCTATCCTATAACTATTCAAAGGATCAAAGTGACCTCGATCGCGGTTCGCCATGTCATTGCTTGTGCGAACAATCCCGACCAATGCCGGGCGAGAATACGATCGAGCTCACTTCGAGAGTTCAGATTGACATCTTACAGAATATACTTACTAGTCGTGGAGAACCTAATGGGTGGTTACCCATTAGGTTCTCCGGCTTGACGTGCAGGAGAAAGAACGGGGTGGTTTTTAGTCAGTAAGAGTCTAACACTCCCTCCCGCCTCACCCAGACGGGAGCAGTCATTCGATGAATTTCCCCCATTAAAAAAAAACAGAATATACTAGACCAATAAACGTGGACGTTATTAAACCTTCATTTAAAAGTTACATAAGTATGTAAAATTTATATCAAGTCACAACATTGATATAGAAACATTGTTATCTTATCAGAAACACCTACATCATGTCTGGAGTATTTTTAATTTTATCTTAAACTAACATTATAATTAGGTGAAGATACCGTCTTGCACTAAACTCAGTACCTAGACACCTACTTAAACTGTCAAACACCGCGAGGACACCGGTGACCGCAACCTATTGTACTTTAATTGTGCCTATAATAACGGTTCTCAAAGGGTAAACAATTCTATCGTTATCGTCATCAAAAGCCTTGGACTATGGACCTCCTCAGGCTTTCTCTGGTTGGAAACAGCAGTTTAAAAGATTCAGATTTATCAGAGGTCTCGGAGTACCTGCTAGGAACTAGATCTCTGTCAAATGTGTAATTTCTTATATAACATATAACATCAAGCCTACTATTCCCGAAAGGGTAGGTAGAGGTGCACATTACAGCACTTATGGCACTTAATGCCACTGTACAATGTAACACCCACTTTTCACTATTTACGTTATGAGCCCCATGTAATATAGAGGGTGAGCCTATTACCATATACCGGCCAGAATTCCAAACTTAGTGCTACTACTGAGTTTTTTTTTTATAAAACCCATTAATACTTAGCCAGACCCGGGAATTGAACCTGAGAGAGAGAGTTCCCTTGTCCAGCAGTCGCACTTGCAAACCACTCGGCCAACGGCCAACTGTCATGTGTAATTTCATAGTCAGTTTATACAATACAAAAAAGTTACAACACGACTCCCGCGGAAACAGGGGTAGGTACGAGGTGGTAACAAAAAGGTATATTCTGCACTACCGTCGCCACACAGCCTATCAAACACATAACAAATGTATGCCTAAGTAAGTATATAGAATAGTTACAGCAATCATTTGTTACATTGTTATTTAAACAATTAATTAGAACGTTGATGTCTTTACAATAGTCGTTGACTTTGGTTTAGGAAAGACATCAACGCATTTGAAAATCTTATACACCATATGTAAGTGTCGCGAAGAACCTAACGGGTTACCGGGGCTCCGGCTCGACGTGCAGGAGAAGGAATGGGATGGTTTTTAGTCAGTAAGAGTCTGACACTCCCTCCCGCCTTACCCAAGCGGGAGCACAAATTCGATGATTTTCTCCCATTAAAAAAAATACATCATAATATGTAAGTAGGTATAGATGGTATGATACTTATGGTAGATAATAACTGAAATTGAAGTTACAAAATATTTCAAGAAGGTATTTGGCGAAAAGTATGAGTATTTCGTTCTATTACACTACATTTACAAAATGTAAACACCAGGGTTTTTGTGGATATGATATTTCGGATACGGATTGGATACGGATATAGAAATGATTATTAATAATAATATATCCGTAATCGTATCCAGTATAATAAATTGTTATTTCGGATTATCCGTTAGTTTCGAATAATTTCGGTTACGGATAATAAAATTTTAAGGAATTTCAAAAGTAAAATACAAATAGCTAATTTAATGGTTTCATTTATACGTCACGCCCCTATCCGATAGTATCCGAAACTTTTATTTCTTATTCGGTTACAGATATTTTTTTATATCGGATATCCTATAGTTTCGGTTACGGCTCCCTAACATCCCTGGTAAACACATTACAATATCTAGATATTGAACAATTTACTAGACTAAACTGCAAAATAAGTACCCTTAACCCAATGACGTTAGATTTATAATATCATTGCCTTAACCCTTATAAAACTCCTTTTTAAACCTTATTAGAAATGAGTAACGACAACAATACTTATTCATATCTGTTAAGGACTCGAAAGCAAACGCCTATAATATTATAATATAACATTGACTTTGATGTAGGTATCTCGCCGAGGCAATTGTAATTGTTAATGAACAGGCAATGAATTTTAATAGAACCAGTATGTAATTCCAATTAGCTTTTATCACTTTTAATCGTCTTTATTACCCCCAGTTAAGGCGGTAAATGAAATATTTTCGATCATGCCAAGGTCTATGATCATCCTCCTGCCTTATTGGATTGAATAATGACACCATAATATGTACGTATTACCTCGGTCGATCGGTCGTAGTCTATAAATAATCCGGTCCATGATTGGACGCAGTGCTAAACAAAATTGTATTTCTGTTGAGTACTGCTACCGCCCGGGCGCTCAGAAACGCAGTTGTGTGTAAAGATAACTTTTATTTTTTTATTGATGTTTACATATGTAGTCCTTATGTGTACGCTGCCTTAGCACTCGAGTGTAAAGTTTTATAAAATTTGTCAAGAGATGTCGCTACTAGTGGGAAAAAAACTTTACAAAACGTATAGATAGATCACTAAAATTTGAAATAAATGTTTGTCTTAAGTTTAATAAATATAGTAATAAATGAAGTTATTAAATTTAAACAGTGAATGTGTAAATAAATTTGGTTTTTATAATTGCTTCGCCATTGAAAATCTAGATGTCGCTAGTATGTCATTAAGTTTGACAGAACTTATATCTGCTATCTCACTTGCACACTTAATTAATCATTCTCAAGAGTCGAATTTTAATTTTGTACATCATTTCATATCGTTTATTTACTAGCATTGCAGTGTTTTGTGAATATAAATGTTTATGATGTACTTGGATTCTTATTGGTAATGACGTGAGTGGTAAAGTGAGCCGTGTAACAAACGCTATGCGATGGATTGGTGTGTAATATTCGATACAAGGTAATGGGCGATGTTCTCGTTATTATAAAGACAAAAGGCTCGTCCTTCACACATTAGTAGAGCATCGTTGTGCAAACAATCTGTTATCTACACGCCGCGTAATGTTAGAGGTGATTATTGAAATGCTAATAACGTTCCACTGCATGTAAGTACGGCGAGCCGAACCGCGCTCTTTAATAACTTCACCCGCGCAAGCAAAGACGTTTAATTACTAACTCCTCTTGATTGGTGGTGGGTCTCTATCGCTTCATGCTGTAACCGGTAATATAGTACAGCTTACTAATAAGACAAAACTATGGCTAACGTAAAGAGTAGATTAAAAGCACCCAAAAGTGCATCTACGAAAAAGAAGAGAGGTCGTAAACCTAAAAAATCGTTGGCAGGTCCGAAAAAATCAGAGCCGAAGAAAAGAAAAAATATTGAAAGTGTAAACACAGAGCCGGCCAAGGCTAGTGGTGAACCACAGGCTCAAGTTAGTGCGAGGAATAATATTCAATTAAAAAAAAGTGATGTGGTCATGAAACGACCGAGCTCTCGCAAGGTCATGACGCCAGATGAAAAAGTAATATTTATATTGAAACACGGACATAAACTTAAGGAAAAGTTTATCACTAAACCTCCTGCGCCTGTCAAACCAATCATACAACAAAATGAATTACAAGTTAGTGCACCACCAAGACCTACCATACAAGTGCCAGAGAGTGATCTTCCACAATTATCAAAAAGTGGCCGTCTTAAAAAGAAATCTAAATGTGACATGACAATCATTGACAGTATATTGAAAGGTGAACTGATGATCAAAGAACGGCCCAATGGTAAAGATATGTCTCCTGAGCCGGTACCATCAAGCTCACCTCCCCCACCGCGTGTAGACAATAACAATGACTTAGCATTAACTAACCAAAACAAAACCATTCATGATTTATCCGATGATGAATATCAAATATCCGAGGAGATGTCCGTCTCATCCGAGGAAGGTTCAGACAATAACTGTTCAAATGAGTCAAGTCCTGATTCTGGTAACAAATCTAAAGACAAAGACTCATCGTATCCTAAACCCAGGCATATTAAACTGAAAAATGGTGTAATATTAAACTTATTAAACTTTGAGTGCGATGTCTGCCACAGAACATTCAACAGAAAATGTTCCTTACGCAGACACATGTATATTCATCTGGGTATGAAACCATATAATTGTCGTGATTGTCGCCAGGCGTTCTGGAACCCCCATAAGTTGAAGGATCACATCAACCTGTACCACAACACCAATGCAGAAGACACGGAACTGTTTATCTGCAATTATTGTGACAAACCATTTCTGGTGAAAGAAAATTTGCAGAAACATCTGGACACACATACAAAGGCTGAGAATTCATTCAAATGCATTTACTGTAACAAAGTGTTTGGTTACCACATCATGTTGATGCAGCATGAGAAGAAACATATGGTGAAGGGTCGTCACGAGTGCACCCTGTGCAGTATGTCGTTTCGTTGTCGCAACCGCCTGTACATGCATGTAAAGAGCCACTTGAAACTCAAAGATTTCATTTGTCAATATTGTGGGAAAGAATTTTTGCTCCATAATTCGCTGAGGCGCCATGTCGAGGTGTGCCATGGCGGGCACAGGATTGTGTGCCCAATCTGCAATAAGAATTTGAAAGGTCATTTGACGGAGCACATGCGCACTCATGAGAAGAAACGGCCGCATGTATGTCCTGAATGTGGACAACGTTTTACACAGTCCACCCAACTGAATGTACATCGGCGAGCGCACACGGGGGCCAGGCCATACCCTTGCCGAATATGTAAACGATTCTTTTCACATTCGAACGCACTAATGTTGCATATCAGACGTCACACAGGAGAGAAACCTTTCCCCTGCCCCATGTGTCCAATGTCCTTCTCCCAACTACCACATATGAAAACACACATGCGTAAAATACACGGTAAGGAGAACCCTTACAAGTGCTCTAATTGCGACTCTTTTTACAAGCTGAAAGCGCAGCTGGATGTGCACTCAAAGACATGTACTGCAGCTCCAGCACCCACAGCAGAGACTCCTGCCCCTGAGCCTGCCCAAGGTAAAAAGAAAAAGTCCAAGAAAGCCGAGGACGAGATAGAGGTGGAATCGTCGATGACTCTGTCTCGCATGAGGTTCCTGTTGGCTCTGCTACTCACGATGATTGCAACCAAAGAAAAACTCAAATATTTAGGTGCGTAAACTTTTCTTTCATACGAGTTTGTTTACACTACTCTCATAATATTGGCACTGTTTTTTATATTTTGTGTGGAGTACATTGCTTAGTGTGTCCGCCATAACGGGAGCCCGTATCGAAAAACGTGCACAGCTCATAGTCATTTTCAGACTGGCAAAATGTTAAAAATCTAATGTTGACTTTTAATAATATTGTCTGGTACATAAGACATCAACGCGTTTCCATTCAGTTCGCACCATCATAGGTCATTGAGTTTAATCGAAGTAACAAGGTCGTAATAACAAATGCGCCGTCATTGAAAATGCAAGTGCGATCGAACCGAACAAACATTACATTACGAAGCACTATAGTATTTATTCACTGGGTTGCGAAATCGTGTGCTGTGTACCGAGTTTTGTGTGCTTATGTGAAGTGCAGACTTGTTGGCACGTTGTCCATTGCATAGCTTATATCATCATGGTTTTTATTCTAGAGAACATACTCGTCGTTGTATGACGACTGACGAGTTTCCGACGTGGTATACATTATGAGTAATAATTTCGTGAGTGAGTTCATTTTCCATTGTGTTGTTAATTTTTGGTGTTGGTCGGTGACGGAGGGTAAATGTAGGTTATCGGGAAATGGAGGTTGATGTTTTGTTTATGTAAGAATTTGCGGGCGTTAGCTTTAGGTTGGGTAATGGTGGTGGCCGGGCTCAATTCTAATCTATTATGGTAATAATCTAAGCTTTGTAAATAAGCTCTTTTGTCGCGAAAAATGTGTAACATATGTTTTTCTGACAGGGTTCAACAAGAGGCTCGTTGATGAGATCCTCATCGAGTCGTTGGAGGGTATGGGCCGAACTCCTTGCAAAGACAATACGCTTCCTCCGTTGAAGCGTCTGCGGAGGAACATCGAGATGTTGCTACTAAAGACGGTGCCTAGAGATCAGATGGAGAAGTTCAAGAAGGAAAGCAAGTCTATTGAGGACATTCTGGAACTGTTGACTACTGAGAAAGATAAGTAGAACATGAAGTTCTTTCAAATTAAAGGTCAGCGTGTAGGTACTACAGCAGGGGCGGAGTGGGTCAAAAACGTCGCGCGAAACAAAAGACGGCCGGCCGTCTTACGACAAAAAGTTTTAAATCCAAAAAAGGTCGCACACGTGTTTACACAATGTATTCACCGACACGTGTGTTACTAAACCTTTTTTGTTATGAACTCATTTTATGATGTAAGTAGGCTAAATAAGGCGTGCGATGATGCCGGTTTAAAAAAATCCTGTATGTTTTTATACAGTTACGCACAGTCGTGTAAGATCAGATACTGTAAATTTTGTGGGGCATGTTTTATTTTAAACTTTAAATAAACATGTGTATCGATGCGTGTGTTCTTAAAACAAAGACGCTTCCATTTTGAGCAGTCCCCAAAGTAATAAATGAGCGAACGTCAATATTAACATTCATGAAAACAGTTCATCGTTTATTTATATTTGCACAAACAGTACAACATGAAATAAGACTTTATACTTATAAAAATAAGGATTAGAATTGCTAGAAGGTTTTTAAAAGTGCATTCTTCTTCACCCGCCCCCGTAGTGCTCGTTAATGGTGCACTAGATCTTTTAAAGTGTTTCGCACCAGATGTATATTGATATCATTAATTTATATTTCTCGCTATTTATGTATCATTCATTTATTTATAACATTTTGATTTCAGAATAAACCTTTGGTTTCTAAAAAGCAATTTATTTGGACTAATTTAAACCTGTACATGGGTACATCATTATAGAAGTGTTCTTGCATGTAATATTTCAAATAATCTAATTAGATTTTGTTGTTTGACCTGACTCTAGCTAGAAGTAATCATTACAACATCATCAGCCTTTTGGAAACCAAAGAACATAATGTATTTAGGTAGGTTGTCACTCATACAAGTTTTTGGGATTGGATCAAACCGTATAGACTAGTAACTAATAACTATATGTATTTCTGTAGTGTGTCGGCTTATTGTATTTCTATGTAATAGTTATTGTGTGTAGAAACTCGACTTATCCTCGTGTCGTTCGCGATGAATCATTGGTCATTCGTGGTTAATGTTGTAGAACTGTAGTTTCGAAGATTAATCATACATAGGACTCTATTTTAGGGATATTATGTATCTATTTTGCTTGCAGGAGAGATGAAAAATAGTGTCTAGTATAAACTGTCAAACACCGCAGGACACCGGTGACCGCAACCTATTGTTCTTTAACTCGTCGAGTACCGGTTTTGTAGACACAATTATAGAACAATAGGTTGCAGTCACCGGTGACCGCTTGGTGTTTGACAGTTTAATTGTGGTAATGACGGTACTCAAAGCTGTTTAAGAAATAAATGACTAGTAAAAATGATGACAGTAAATGTGTAATTGAAGGTATTGATAAGTTTATCCTCGTCAATAATACTAGCTGTGGATAGATATGTGAAATGTGTCATAGATTTTAAAGCATAGTTCGAATTTTATTTTTTAATACTATATTGTAGAATTTTGACGTTTGACCATGAATATCTATTAGAACAAATGTCACATTTAAAATCCTACTTACTCTACTGACTGCCGTACTCAGGGACTATACCTTAAGAAGGATTTGGTTCCGAAAACAATTGCTTAAGTACCCATTAACCCGTCGTGTGCCGTAACGTAGATCTACGCGAGACACAATGCATTTTGTATTGTGTCTTATATACCGGCAGTCAAGAGGTTAAATGACTGAGTATGGTGATTAGACCTACTTATAACATATTTGCGCCAATGATACAAGGTGATCGAGTTATTGACAAAGGTTGTACATTCATATCATCAACTAAGCAATTTTTTAATAATAGTACCCTATTTATTAATTTAATAACAACTTCGGTGAGTGATAACCCTTATGATAGAACATCACTTTTTAAATTATTAATATTATATTATAAGTAGAATGTACACGTATTCGTAAGGACAAAGATTTTTTCTCTAAAGTACATAATTATTAAATGTTAGTGGAATCTGCCCATTAAAATATTTTCCTAAGTGCTTTTCAAGCTTTACATTCGAGACAATATTACTAAATGTCAATTTTTTAAACTTAAATTAAATTAATGTAATAATTTTAAAACGTCCATTCGACATATTCAAAACAAGAAATGTTTTATCTTATATCATTAAAATTAAACACAGTAGGTGTATTAAAAAAAAATTAAGCATGTATGGGTATACAATGGGTAGATTCCTATACAAAATGTTAAGGGGTAAAATATATTAAAAAACGTGATGAAGAAAAGCCACAAATTATGGTTAAAATATAGCAGTATCGCCGCTGGCTGAACCAAAACCATATCGTTGCGTAATTTAAAAAATAATACATACACCTTTGACGTTTATATATGACTGTCAATGTGACATTACTTTTGGCGGTAAATTAGCACAAAAGTATAATAGGTATTGTAAGTAGGTACATTGTGACCTCTTGAGTTTGTTCAGGTGTTTCATTTCATTGAGAATCTGTTATGAAACCATATTGTTTGGTTTTAAATGACGTGTAAATTCTTGCAAATATTTTTTCTAAATGCTTACCTAGTTTATTTTGGCTTAATTAATTATTCTATTAAGTACAAAAAAGTCTGTGAATTTTTTTGTAACATTACCTATTATTGACTTTTTATTACCAGCTGCGATGCTGCCATATTAAAAAAAACATGTTTGCTACTCCAATGTGACTTGCCATTAAAAAAGTGATTATCCCAAAGAAAATAATCGTACTGCATTTTAAAAATATTATTTTATTTATCTTAGTTTTAAAATTATATTAATGTTGTAGCATTCCTGTGTAGAATGAGTGTGCCATTGAATTTAGGAATGATTCTGCTAATAATTTGTGTATAAAGTATGAGTTCAGGGTGTTAGGGAAATCGTTACTGTAATGCGTTGCTATAGAGTTGCTTTTTGCGCAATCTTTACACTACGCGTTTCGTACTCGAAATTGTGACGCCAATAGACGATGTTCCTACGCTTTGAATAAAAAGTAATTTTGTTTTTAAATATTTTAAAGTTTAAAGCATTGCTTTTTTTAGGTTTATTTATTAGGATTCTCATACTATTCGTTATTTATTTGTATGTGTAATTTAAATAGTTTATACTTTTTATTGGTGTTCATTAAGTTTTATCTGAGTATGACCGGTTATTCTTTGTTGCGATTATTAGTCGGTGGAACGAATAACAACCTTATTGCAAACACAATAGGCTCTAATATAAAAAGAGGTAGATTTTTCCAATAACATTTTGCATTGAAAATGTATTCAGTTTCAAAAACAAGACCTTCATAGTAGAAAAACAACAGTTGGTATAATTAGTTACGAAAATAACTAGAGAATAACAATTAAGTTCGTTGCAGACTAAGAGCTAAGTTAATAGGTGCTTACTGCTTATATTGCAAACTCACATATATCTGACTTGAATTTTTATACATCTTATGTGGGAATGTGCGATTTAATAAAATTATAATTTTCATACGAACGTATACGTCTACGTCGATTATGGAGCTGCACTAAACAACCTATTAAAACTTGTGTAGCTTTTACGGCCAGTCTTTTTTTTTCTTTTTTACGGAATCTGTATCTACTTACTTTTTACTTTAGTCTGTTGTTTACCACGTATCATGGCATAGGCAAATCTACAATTAGATTAGTGAACTTTAGTCCACAACAAGCTTATTTCTCTTTGTATTTTACTGGTTAATTGTACGTATGTATGGGTATTATATTTATACCAAGCCTGCATATGAACAAAAGGAAATTACTTCGTTCGGATCATTGAGTGCGCGCGTAAAACCTGTGACGCGTGTGACGTCACGGTCCGGTGCGCGTGCACAGCCTGTGGCGACAGGGTTATTATGTTCGTATTATGTTGAAAGCTGATCAAAGCGGAATTGTAACCTGTATCTGAGATTTTCTGTGGAAAATAATGAAAATTGTATTACTATCCGGGTTTTAAAATCTTGATCGTTCCTAAAGTAGACAAATAAGCATATATACCTAATGCTTTTGAGATTTGCTACCAAGGAATAATGATAGAAAAAGGATTAGCCTTTTTTCTTACTTTGCAAGTGAATAAACGTTAGTCGATGTCATGATCAATTTGTTAACTAAAGTTCATCCTAGATCTAAACAGTAATTTTTGTGTAACATGGCCAACATAAGTTAGTACCTACACATAATAACAATGACACTTAATATCTGTAACGTAACTCCATGTAATCGATAACAAAAGAATTATTAATAGGCAACCAGTTCTAAGGTTCGTGTAAAAACCTACTAATGAACGTAACAAAAGAAACCAGTTTTTAAACCAAATTATTGTTAAATTATGTTTTTGTGTCAGTGCCATTTGTTGTTATTCTTATTTTAATGAAATGGAATATTGTTAAGAACTATTCTGTATTGGATTTATGTGTAATAATTAAGTATCGTGAGATATAGGTACTAAAGAAATTGAAAAATACGGCTTACACACGTGACATCACAGCTCTCGATTATGAGCCCCGTTATGGTCTGAAACGAGACGAGCATCTTCGAAAATTTTACGTATGGAAGCTGTATATTTTAATTACGTAATTCTGTGTTGTATTTATATTTGAACTGTCAAACAATGCCCTACTAAAACCAAATATTATGTAACTATTAATTCGGCTTTATTTATTATTTTTAGTATTACTAATGTGCACTTTTATTATGAGCTTAATGTTTTTTTACAATGTTTTCTGTAAAATGTGGCAGAATAATTGATATGGTATGATATGTCACTCAATATTGAATTTTTTTTGTTTAGTGCACATAAAATACGTTGTTTTTTGGTTGTGTAGCCATTTGCTTGGAAGTTTTTCATGTTGCACGCTCATAAATTATATTTTTTAAATATTGCAATACATAAAAGGTGCCACTAAGTTGAGTTGCCCTGAATTCTGCCATTTTCATAGTTTTATGTTAATATTAAACTTATTAAGCATAAGAAAATAAATTATGTACCTATTTTAAAATATAATTACAGTACGGATGAAGTATCTTGGCCTGTCTGAAGTTGTTATCAATGCATGAGGAACAGTTAAATAAGTTCGAATGAGGGCTACCATTTTTTTATTCTTCAGATAGTGCTAAATGTAATTGCAGGTCTGTTTGTCCAATCACTGTAGATGTAAAAATTAAATGTTACTTGATCTGACACTACCCAATTTCCTATTAGATAAATAGACCTCGCTCTTTATTTTAGCGACATCTGTTGAGCAAAAAAGGTATCATTTATAACTATTGAGTTACAGACTATACTTTTGACAGGCCAACAGATTTTGCTCGTATAAGTGGGTTGAGGGTTAGCCAAAGAATTGCCCACCTAGGAGTTAAAGTAGTCAAACAATTGTACCTATATTTACGTGTGTGTGCAACTTAGGGCAGTATTCGAAAAGTAACAGTTCATATTTACAAATTAGAGTTCGGATACTGGCCAAAAGTACCAAAGAATAATAATAGAGAAATAACTAACAATAAATTGTATTGTAACTGAGTTTATGTGTTTTCTTTCGACATTGTTTCCTTGCAGTACGTGAGCGATAAGTTCAATGCAATACTTGCAAACTTTCATTACGAAATACATCCTTATGGCTTACGAAATAAAGATATGCTTGTAAATGCTAAATTATGTCAGTACCTAATCACTTTACTTTTGAATAAATAAATTAGATATTAATTTGCATAGTATGGCCATATTGAATGATCAACCCAAACTTCATATTAACCAGTTACATGTTATTGGTCCTATATTACACCTTATCATACAAATCGAACAAAGTACTCGGTAGGTAATAAGAATTCTAAATTCAAAATTTCAATCGACGAAAGTATTTCAAATCTTATAACTCTTCAAACCCCGTTATGAATCCAAAAAGATAGACTACACAATTATCATCAGCTCGTCGTTGTGATATAGTGCAGCACTAGGCTCGATTTTCAGCCCTACGTATTCAACAACTGCCAGCCACTACGGATCGTCACTGTTTGAAGCCGCCCTATTTCTGGAAGGTAAATGTGTTATCGCGCAACACGAAACTAGGTTTTCAGTGCGTAAGTATTTTATATAGATAGGTTCAAAGAATATTGTTTAGGCCCTATATTCCTCGAAAGCTTGTGCAGTTTCGGTTACGAATTAACATAATTCCCGCCTTCTAGGAGTTGCGTAACTCTTACTCTGGCCTTATTATATTATTAAACAAGGGTGAACTCATTGTGACTGATTAATCAAATAGAATTAAAATTCTGGTCTCGTCATAATTATTGAGAACTAGCTTTAACCCGCGGCTTCGCTCGCGTCACAAAAGGATAAAAAGTAGCCTATGTGACATACAGAGCTATCTATACCAATACTTTTGTTTTCCCTCGGGAATATCAAATTTCTCCGAGATAAAAAGTATCTTATTATAATCCGGACTTGTCACTTTATGTCTGCTAAAATCAATTGGTTTAGTAGTTACGGCGTGAAAGCGGAACAAAAACTCACTTTCCGATTTGTAATATTAGTAAGGATTTTATAAAATTGAAAAGCCTCGGTTCCGCCATAATGCGTGTTCATTGCGATTGATTGCGCTTGCGACCTTACAACCAACTAGCGAGTAATAAGACTAGAACAGTTTATGTAGATTTTTAGATGTATGTAGGTTTAAATCGTGTAGTAATGAAATTAATAAATACAAATATTCGTCTGGAAATTATTACTGTAAATTATTGTCGTCTCATGGATAACGGAACGTAGCAGTCACATCGGCAAATAAAAAACGTCAACGTCAGTTGGTCACGTCAACAAACAAAACGTCAAAATTGACAAAACAACACGAATTCTTTTGCAAGCCCGCAGGCGAAGTAGTTCAAAACAATACGCGACCCGATAATGTGGGCCTAAATCATTTCTATATTAGAAAAGTTTGTGCAGTGAAAATTACTTTAATGTAATAATTATGGGTACCACCGGCCAGTCTATCACGCTAGCCAATAGCATTATCGGCGTCGGAATATTGGCTATGCCATTCTGCTTTCAACAAGTGAGTATTTTTTTTTCGATTGAGATTTATTTGAACAGCTTTACCTCCTAGGCCAGTGTTCTAATAATAATCTTGTAAGAACCAGATTCTAAATCTATTGGGTTTTTAGGATCGTTAGCTTTCTCGTTGATATCTTAAATAATAGAACTTTGAATAAAAAACTTTATGATCCCCTTACTTTTTTTTACTAAGTACTTGACCATACAGACTATTGCATATCCTTGATTAGAATAATAATTCAAGTTTGAGTAGGTCTGTATAATATTTCATAATAATTATCTATATGTATATTATTTCATAATAATTATCTATTACAACATGTTTTATGTAGCAGTGTTCAATACACCCATTTTTTACCTTACCTGATACATACATGACTTTTGTTGAAACAAACGTTTTTTAATGTTATTAGTCCAACCAATTAGAAAAGTGAGAAATTCCATTCAAGGCTTGATTACAGCCTTGTGAGCTTAATAGGAAATAAAATAAACTAAATAATAGTACTTACTCAAATTTACTTTTAGGCCTAAAGAAACTATTGAGCATATTTTTTTGTTTGAGTGAGTGAGTTTTGTTAGGGACAAGATTCCTTGACATGCATTTTTATGCTTTTGTCTAATAAGAATTCATTCATTGACTATTTTACATGATCAAAAGTAAAGTTGTAGACAAAACTCCTAGTTATTTTTTTTTCATTCTGAAAATACTGGCCAGTAGCACATGTTTTCTGATCTTTTTTGTCTATGATGGTATGATGTTTTTTTTTTTCAGTGTGGTGTGTTATTAGCTACTCTAATTCTTGTGTTTATGGGACTAATCTCAAGATTATGCTGTTATTTCCTTTTAAAATCTGCTCTACTTGCAAGGAGAAGAAATTTTGAGTTTTTAGGTAAGTGTTAAGGAAACAATTTCTTTAAATCATTCAGAAAAGTAAAGTATCACAAGTCATATTGTTTATTATACCTTTTGTTTTTGGGCCAAAATATTTTTAAAAGACTTTTTTAACCCCTTAAAGTTAAAGTAAAGTAAAGTAAAGTTAAACAATCAAAAATTAAATTCTAACTCATAAATGATGTTTTTTTTTATTATTCTATAGCTTTTCATGTATTCGGACAAGCGGGAAAAATTGCAGTTGAAGTTGGAATCATTGGTTTTCTAATGGGAACATGCATAGCTTACTTTGTTGTTGTTGGTGACCTAGGACCACAGATTGTAGCTAAAATGTTCAACATAAACCAAAGTGACATACTGAGGTAATATTTTATCTGTATTTAAGAACATTTATGCAAGCTTTTGATCAATATTCAACCTTATATAGAGCTAATAAGGTTTGAAATTGTTCAACGGCTAACCTGCAAGTACATGCATTATGTTTTGTTTCTTCTGAATATAAAGGAGGTTTATTTACAAATGTCGTCAATAAAATATTAATAGGTGTTTTAATGCAAAATAACAGTAAGTGTACATATCTAATATAATAAATAAGCAACAAAGAAGTACTCTTTACATAAGTGTGTTATTGTTTTACAAGCCAAAGCGAACTATTGTTGTAACCATTTATAATATACTTTGGAGATAGGTATTCATTTGTCATTTAATTAGATGTAAAGTTATTACAAATTATTGATTGGACCTAACTTTATGCAACTACTGAACCGAAACTAAATGAAAATTCTCAATATTAGCACAGAAGATAAACATATCTAGGCATATCTGTGTATTTTCTTACGGACACAGATGTACATAATCTACCAGATGGATATTAAAATAAAAATTAGTCATCTACCCTATTCAGTCTCTAGTAAGAATAAAACCCCACTATATTCAATTCTTAAAGAAATGATAGAAACTAGTAAAACTTACAATAATATGTAAATAATAATTAACCCGTTGATATCCAATCCCCTAAATTTGGTAATACGAAAGTAGTCTCTAAACATTAGAAATAAGGTCTATAATGTAATGTAATATTAGTGGAAAGCGGTCACCGGTGACCGCTTGGGGATTTATGGGTTAAGTTGTGTGTGTGTTAATTAATGTATGTTCTTACAGAACATCAATAATGGTGATTGTGTCACTGGTATGTGTTCTTCCACTGGGGCTACTAAGAAACGTGGACAGCCTGAGCAATGTCAGTGCAGCCACCATTGCATTCTACTTCTGTCTTGTTATGAAGGTAAGTGAAGTCAATAAAGACTAGTTTTGATTGTATACTTTGTTCAATGGCAGTGGTTGGGTGACTGGCTGCTACTCTGTATATCGCTCATGAACAGCTATGAAACCTAACATTACGCCTTTGGGGCCATTGTGATGGCTGCACGAATAACTCAGGCCAAAGAAGTCCTACTTATTGGTGACGTGAATCAACTTCCCTTTATTGACCGCGACAACCTCTTCCCCCTCGTATACACCCGCCCTGCACACATCGTGGCCGTGACCCGGGAACTTCTCTGCACTCACAGAAACCCAATGGATGTGGCATATGCTCTTGGTATTGTGTATTGTGGCATATACTCGTCTAAATCAAGAGTGAGATCCCTTGAGTTAAAAAGTTTTTCAAGGGCGCGGATCCCGAAGTCTCCCCCGAACACGTTATACCTGGTACACACTCAGGTAGAAAAGGAATCCCTCAAAAACCAGGGATACGGATCGGGTATGGGGTCACGAGTACTCACAATACACGAGGCCCAGGGGCTGTCGTATGCGGCAGTGGTGATTGTGAACACAACGGACAGGAAACAGCGGATACACGACAGTGTACCTCACGCCGTGGTAGCTATATCGCGTCACACTGACAGTTGTGTCTACTACACGGACATAAATGATGACGCAATCAGCAAAATAATCAGACGGGCGCTGGGTGAGGGTGAGCAGGGAATCCTGGATTATAACCTAAAAATGGCAATAAAAAATAGAGATGCGCTGGTCGTGAGCGCTCTTCTGGGTGGGGACGGTTCGTAAAGCCGCACAACTGCTGAAAAGGTCCAGATATAGAAAAAAAAAAAAAAAAA